AAGTCATTAATTAACGTGTAGGACGTAATTGTCTTCTTGTTTGAAAGAATGTCTGTCATTGATAAGATGAGATACGATTCACTGCTAGAAATTATTGAGATCCTTGAAATGTGCCTTACTTTATTAACGAATCTAGAAAAAAAAATATAGATACAAATAGAAATACATGAGAGATGTAAGGTTAAGAACTCATTTGTTAAACAGGAAACTTACAAATTTAAAAACAGATTTAGTGCTAGAAATTGCTCTTTTATCCTAAATTGAATCCAAAAAGCGTTTCTTGTTCTGTTTCTAGGATGTCTTCCAGTTAGGTCTGTCCTGGATGGTCCAGAGATTCTTCCACCGCATCACAAATTTCAACCCGATGCAGCGCGCTAATAACCCAACCGCTTCTGGGGACATGACAACGCAACGTATTGCGGACTAACCAGAAGTGACCATGAGCCCACAACAGCATTAGGAAACATGGAGGCACAATCCCCGAATTTCTGAAATGTCACAAAATAAAAGAATATTAATTCTGTTCAGATAATCATGTTAGATTAATTGAATTCTCGTTCAGAAGTAGATGCCTATAAAATAATTGTTTTTATTAAAATTTACAAAGAATAACCCAAAAGTGAAAGCCTTATTGGGATACAAATCCGAGTATATGTAGCCATTGTATGATACTATAATCTGACCCTTTTTTTTTTTTTTTTTTTTTTTTTTAGAAATGCTTCATAAAATATTGATTCCATCTCTGACTGATGCCATTTATCAGCCCATTGTTTTCAAGGCATGAAGATAAACGAAGACGCTTATAATGATAGTCTTGTGTAGTTCAATCATCCTGGCTACATTTAGTCAATATTATTCTACAATTGTTTCATTGCTAAATAAAAAGTCAATTTTTTTTTGTTGGTGGAAGGGGAAAATAAGGGGGCGGGGGAGTAGAAGGAAAATACATTTTTGAACTGTAACACAAAAAAAGTGTTGAAATTTAGAACATCGGAGTCGAATACAAGTATCAATAGAGATCCCAATAGTTGTATGACCAATTTTTTCTGTGTAGAACTTTGCTTATTAATGAACTTTGGACAGCAATGGAACCACAACAAATCAACTGGAAATATGGACATTTTGTTTGATGGGCAAATTAATAATAAACAAACTAATTATGTAACCAAGACAACCAAAATGTGTTTACTTTTTACTTTCTTTTTTTTTGCTTTTGTGACATTTTCTTTTTGAAGGGTTAGGGCGATAAAGAAATATATTAAATGACATTGAGCTAAAAAAGAAAACTTTAACTTGTGAACTATTTATAGCTCAGATTGAATTGGGGCGAGTCAAGAGTGACACCTAAGTTGCTAATTGTCATTTTCGATGTTGAACGCTTGCAGAAGAATGTGTTTTATTTATGATCCTAATAAAAATGAATGTCTACTAATAATTACTTACTGTGTTGACACGAGATTTTATTTGCAGCCACTGATGTTTAATAACTCACCCCTCCAGTAAATATATGTCAATCTTATGTACAATGTCTGTATCATGTTTGTGAAGAGATATTACTAGCATCTGCTGGTTAGTTGATCCCAAAGTTTCATCACTGTTAAAACAGAACCTTACAAAATGATCGAACATTTGTAGAAGTTCCTGAGATATTTCATTCCAACACTGGGATGACGTCTGTGCCTATGTTATATATTACGATATTGACAGGGGTGAAGTCGTGGCAATAACTGGCTAGCTATTCCTTTTAGTTACTAGCCTTAATCACCGGCTACGCCAGCATTTTAACATTCCCACTTACATACGTATAACACGTAATGTGCAGTATCTGTTAGGTTCTATTGGAAAGGCCAGCACTATAACACGCACATGCACACACTTTTGACCCGTTAATATCTGTATATCTAAATATGCAGGACACAGCTGGGGCCCCGCAGCCACGGGAAATACAGTATTCCTCACTAATCTTCGGACTCAAAGACAAGCCTTATAAGTATCTTTCTAAACTAATGGCGTCAATATAGCTGTCACGTTCAAGATTTGACATTACTGGTGAAGCTACACTTGATTATGTTTAAAGAAAAAAAAACATTTGTCATGTTAAGTTTCATAGCTCTATTCACTTTGTAATTTCGTGGAACCTGGAAACTTCTAGGTGGAACCTGGAAACTTCTAGGTGGAACCTGGGCACGGTTCTTTGAAAGCTGATGCATATCGTTGTGAAAAGAATTGCTAGTTAGTTGACCACACTGGGAAAACTCTCGTTTGATCGTTATAATTTTTCAAAGTAAAAAAAAAAAAAAAAATTAAATTTGGCTAGAGAACAAAAAAAAAATATATGGGATATACACCTGAGGCAGACAGCTGGATATTTCTGACAAAGACCTTGGGATACACACCTGAGGCAGACAGCTGGATATTTCTGACAAAGACCTTGGGATACACACCTGAAGCAGACAGCTGGATATTTCTGACAAAGACCTTGACAGGGGAATGACAGCGGGCAGATGATATAAAGGTCATCTGTTTCTGTGGCCCATTGTTATCGAGGGTATAATGTGGCCAACACAACCGCCTTTACTTTTCCCCAACTAACGTCAAGTACCCATTAGAGCTGGGGCCCCCTAAAGGTCCCAAATTAAAATTTCCAGTCTTTACCAGGTTTCGAGCTCGCGATTCCTCAGTTTGGAAGACAAGTACTTTACTACTCAGACACCTTTGTATTGAAATGATAAAGCTTGTTTTCGAGTAGCAAGATTAATAAGGAGTGCAGTATTCATGTTGCTAAGCAGTCCCAGCTGGGACCTACATATTTCGACATCCTGCGTAGATATAATTCTTGTTGGCCTGTGGTCGAATTAGATGTTCCTTTTCAACGCCTACGTCTGTCCTCAGCTTTTATTTTGGTCTCAGGTGTGTATCCCAAGGTCTTTGTTAGAAATATCCAGCTGTCTGCCTCAGGTGTGTATCCCAAGGTATTTGTCAGAAATATCCAGCTGTCTGCCTCAGGTGTGTATCCCAAGGTCTTTGTCAGAAATATCCAGCTGTCTGCCTCAGGTGTATATCCCAAGGTCTTTGTCAGAAATATCCAGCTGTCTGCCTCAGGTGTGTATCCCAAGGTCTTTGTCAGAAATATCCAGCTGTCTGCCTCAGGTGTGTATCCCAAGGTCTTTGTCAGAAATATCCAGCTGTCTGCCTCAGGTGTGTATCCCAAGGTCTTTGTCAGAAATATCCAGCTGTCTGCCTGAGGTGTATATCCCATATATTTTTTTTTTGTTCTCTAGCCAAATTTAATTTTTTTTTTTTTTTTTTTTTTTTACTTTGAAAAATTATAACGATCAAACGAGAGTTTTCCCAGTGTGGTCAACTAACTAGCAATTCTTTTCCCAACGATATGCATCAGCTTTCAAAGAACCGTGCCCAGGTTCCACCTAGAAGTTTCCAGGTTCCACGAAATTACAAAGTGAATAGAGCTATGAAACTATGTCTGGCCATATACGAAATTCGCTAGGTAGGCTATATTTAAAAAGAGATGTTTTAGAAAAAAAATGTTAAGCTAGTTAGATAAAGCGATTATTAAACAATACTAAAATTTTTTAGGTAGATATAAATAGGGATTAAATAGATGTAGAGATTTTTTTTTTTAAATTAAATAGATAAAATAAATATGATTATTTAAAAAACTTACAAGCAGATCTAAAGAGGTTATTCGAAAAAAAATCATTAACTGTATAAAAAAAAAAAGATTAGATCAATATGAATATCAATAAAAAAAACAACACCTAGTTGGTTAAAAACTTAGGGTATCTTTCAGGACAACAAAACACTAGATAGATGCAATATAAGCGTAAGGCATACATTAAGCAGCGAACCACTATACTGATAAAACATTAGTGTAGGTCCTTCACTCACTTGTCGTAGATCTAGATAGAGACAGAAACACGCACACTTACGAAACACTAGATAACAAAAAAGAGCTGAGAAGGGCAGGTCCGTAAGCTGGTGGGAGGGAGGACCGGCTGGGGTAGGTTGAGGGTTCACTGGGGGGTGGGTTTAAATGGGTGAGAAAAAAGGGTCCCCTATTACAAATACAAGAGTAAACAAGATTTCACAGAGAGAGAGAGAGTTCCTGTCAACTTAACTCAAAGGCGGCTCCTTCTGAGTTTGGTAAAGCAGGACATATTTGACGTAGCCGTTTTGGTACAGTGGTCTTTTTATTTGGCTTAGCGGTTTTGGCGCAAAATATTTTATCGGCATTATATGTGTTCATTTTAGTCTTTAAAAATAATGAGATTATAATTTTTTTCTTTCAAAAGACTAAAGTGAACGCATGTAATGCGTCTAAAACTTTTTGCGCCTTGTGTATATTGTTGTAACTGTTTCCGCGCTCATATATATTGTTATATATTGCTCTCAGCTTGGGCGGAACTCGTTCTGTCTCTTCCTATGTTGACATCATTCTAAGTCTAGTTTATCACAGTGCACACCTTCTAGCTTAGATGGCGTTGCGCATGGCGGAGTTATAACAATATGGTGCGCACTGTTCCACACGAGAGATGGACTAACAGGACAGAAAAGAGAGACATGATGGACTCCAGCATAGTTAAAGAGAAGAACTTGGAGAACTTTGCATCCTGTTGGTTTGTGTGTGTTATTTATTGTATTTATTAAATCACTATCGCTGTTATTCTTCCTTCTGTATTATATAAGTTAAGATAAGATAGGAAGAATTACAACAATATGTTGATGTGTTTAAATGTATTTTTTTTTTGGCCATTAGTTTGGGTAATTAAGTAATTGATATATGTTTCACAACAATACCTCTTTTTAAAAAATTCAATTTTAGATCAATGTTAAACCCTAACAAGTGTATTGAAATCACTTTAAAAAAAAAATATATTGGCCACTGCCAAAATCTAAGACTATCATAACAAAAAAAATTGGTCAAGATAATAATGAATAAAGAGAACCAAAAGGAAAAACAAATATTAAATATATTTTCATATTTCGAACAAAAATAAAATAATGAAATTGAATTGGAATTCAAAAAATGACCAAAACAAATTGGAACTTCAATGCTCCATGATAAGACTGAGCCCAGATTCTTATAAAAATAATGTCATTAGTCATGATTAGACATCTATTTTAATCATGCTACTGTATTTTCAGCTATTCAAAAGTTCACAGTGCATCATTAACTTCAACACAATGAAAGACATTTTACTTTTGATTTTTAAATCTTTGTTTATGTACAATATTTGTCAATATAATTCTTCTGATATGAAGTCAACCATTTTTGTTCACAAATGCAGTATATACATAAATTACTTGTTTTGTAAAATTGGGTCATACAATCAGACTGTAAAGTTCATCATATTGACCCAGGAATGTTTTATCTCCTTTATCACATTAAATGCAACAGTTTGACAAAATCAACAAAACATCATCAATGACAAATTAAATAAAAACAAAAAAAACTTCAGTATTAGTTATGTGTTAGATCTGTTCACAAGTAGGCAGGTCAGGTGGAATGTTCATTTGGTGGGAAGACATACAAGAAAGAAAGGAACTGTTACATGGTACATCTTTGTTATGTACAGTACATCTGTGTTATGTACAGTACATCTGTGTTATCTACAGTACATCTTTGTTATGTACAGTACATCTGTATTATGTACAGTACATCTGTTTTATCTACAGTACATCTGTGTTATCTATAGTATATCTGTGTTATCACCTCTTTCTATGTAGTGCATCAAATGCTATATCTTACCATTAGTCCAAAATTAATCATAGCTTAAAGCCACGTCACTTATGGTAGCAACCAGTTTTGTTTATGGTCAGTCACAAGTATTCTAAAATGATGAGTATAGGGGCATGTTTGATCTGGTGTGTGACCACCTGGTCATGTGACAAGCCCCCTGGACTGTACTCTTGATGGTTAGCGTCAAACCCTGCCCTCCACTATATCCTACCATCCTGAGGAAGGTTTAGGCTCGGGTGTATCAATCTTTCATTCTAAAGAAACATCAGAAACAAGTATCTCAATGCTCAACAGTTATGTTAATTCAAAAGGACCTGGCAAAAAGGAAACTTATGATACACACAACCTAGTGTCTTTGACAGTAATGACTTTTAAAGTTGAAGATTATCATGCCAACATACAAGTAAAGTTCCCCTTTCAGACTATGCAGTTTATAGGGCAGATGACGTAAAGGTTATCTGTTTCTATGGCCCACGGATAAGGAAAATGTCAATAGGCCAGCACAACACCCAACCACCTTTACTTTTCCTAAAATAATGTCAGGTACCCATCAGAGCAAAATGGACTCAAGGCATCCTAAAAATCTCAAACATCTATTAATAAAATAACCTGGTATGTCAATATTGTTTTTAAAAAAAAAATTGGTTACAAATATGAGCCTAGAATATTCATGTATTAATTTTAAAAAGAAAAAGGCAAGTTTTTCGAAAGACAAAAATCAGTCTTACCACCTAGGAACATACAGTAAACACAATGAAGATGATAGTAACATTGGATTTACAAACAGGAACATGATGTATTTGACCTAGGATGGGGTATAACAAACTGCCCATTTTGAAAAATGGCTATTATGTATTTTTGTACAACATGCAGACTAGAAAACAAAGTGTATGGCTTGCAGAGAATAAAAAGTTGTAACTATTACGAGGGCAGTCATTAGGAGGACAGTGATTGTGACAGTGGAATCAGATTTTTAAATACCGTCTTAATTTTGAGATGTAGATGTCAGAGACAGACATCACTTAAACTATAACAACTCACTCTTCCTTGAAGATAGCTCAAAAGTGCTGAACTATAAGCACAATACAATTAACTTGTACATAAAACTCATAGCATACATTACCAATATTATTGATTTTGTAGACTGCTGGTAGACAACTAAACCACGGAAGGTGTATTATATCTCAACTAAAAAAAAATTGAAATAACTTCTTTGTGAACAAGACCAAACAAAACTTATTTTACAATACAGACAAAATTTAAACTTGAGATGAATAGAAATAAATGTAGTAGACTTTAGTATTAATATAAAAATGGTATTTTGAAACTCTAACTCACTACAAAAACATGTCTTTTCACTACGGCATTCTTGCCTACACAAGACAGCTTATGACAGTGCCGCTTATCTTGCATCATTCACACTGCATAGCCACCAACTAATCGCTAGCTTCTTCTCACCGTCACCAATGAGACTCACACACACACCATTAAAACAGGGGGTAAAGTTTTGGTGCTGATTTACGACGCTCCGAGCAAACACAAGTCAGCTTGAAGTAAAAAAAAAAAAGTAATTAAAATTAAAAAATTCATAGTCTACATCAGGTTTGGAACCCAAGCCCCCTCAGCTAGTTAACCAAGTGGTTTCTCCATTTAGCCAAACATCCTGTATGCATTGCCAAGTAGTTGTAAACTATCCATTGAAAGTCAGGTGAAAAGCAAATCAACAGAAATACAAATACGTGTAGGCACTGTACAGACTAGTTCAAATCAAAAAAGGCTTACTAAGAGACAGAAATGTCAGGTATCTAAAGAGTAAAATATTCTAAAGAATATTTATCTCATGACACATCTGAAGAATGTAAAAGTCTGTTTCAAATGATTGAACATATGCATATTATGTTGTGAACTTTACATATCTTAAATTCATCCTCAATGTTAACTTCAAATCTGTGAAGTTTTGTTGGATGAATAGGAAAAATTGAAGAGTTTTTAATCACTGATTTTTATGACAAAGATCAAAATTGAACAAAATGATATGGTGTTTAATAGAACCAGGATGAAAGAGATAAGAGAGTGCAGAGATTTACACATCCCTCAAAGCCTATTGTGTTTGAATCATAATCTCAACATTTTTCTTTCATCAATGGTTTTTATATGGTGATTAAAGCATTTGGGGATTTATGTACAAATTAAATGTAGGAAAAATGATGAAAACCTTAATACTGGGCATAATAAACTATTAATATGTTTCTGTATAAATACATTTAAAAAATCTTTCTGAGCTGTTTACACATGTTGAGGTAATTGAGATATATTATTCATTACAATGTAGACCAGACCATCCTGCATAGCATTTACAGACGTAATCATTATAATCATATACCAGCTCACCAGTCATGGACATTGTGGTGGGAATCTCCAAAAGATCTAGGTAGTCAGCCATTTCCCTTCCAGATAACTTCTCTGTGATTTTGAAATGTTTTTCCACTCTTCTATGTCCGAGATTGTTAAAGTGTTCAAAATTATTTGAACTTTGGTGAAATTGTTGCGTTAATGAACTTTTACTTCTACGAGATTTATTTCCAAAGGCAGCTTTACCCCATGTAGCTTTGTTCTTCAAGGTTGATTGACTCCGCATCTTCAAGTGTTCTTCTCTAATGTAGCACTCGTCTCTTTTATTCTTATGTAGATGGAACTGAAAGTAGGTCTCTAGCTCTTTCTTCATGCACCTGCCATGGCCATTGCAGTTGTCCGTCGAGCAGTTGGCAAAAAAGTTGGTCACGTCTAAAGAGTACGGCCCCAAAGTTGTGTTCAGATATTGCTGCAGGATGAGGCACTCATTTCTAGCCCTCATGTAGTCAGAACTACCCCACAGCACAACGCCAGAAGAGCCCATGTCAGCAGGCAGTCTTATAGCATAGTATAAGTCTGTCTGTAATAAGCCAAAATAGAAATTTTAAATGCATATTTTTTTCTTGATTCATTTTGCATGTTGTGCTAATTTATAAGCACCTTAATTTCATATGAAAAAAAATAACTAATTAGGAAAACATTTAGAATACGGAAGAAAAAAACAATTTTCATACGTCTATTTTCTAGTAAACAAATAGTTTCGTAATTAATAAGCAAACTGAAAAAGGGCTTGAAACATGCAGCTAGCAAAGCCATTCACTGAGTCACAAAATATTTCAAGGGGATATAGTGACCTATGCAGGATAACTTTATAAATATTATCCTTTATTTAATAAATAATCTTAATGTTGGTTAGCTTCAACCTTAGATGGTGCCAAAGCATAGATTAAATTGTAGTCTGTAGGCCTATTATTGAGATCTAGGTTTACATCTCAATAATATAGATCTAAGAGAATTAGGAAAACCAACTCTAGAAGAAATTAAAAAAAAACAATCTAACTAACCTAAAGGTCAAGAGAAAGTTTTTTAAAATGTGCCCGCAATTGCTGCTCTGTATGTAAAGCGCATTTATAATGTAAAGTTTCATTTCTATTTATATTAACAAGCCTTGTCTTTTTAATGAAATATGTTTGGTGCATATTCATATATTTTTAAGCACATTATTATGTTTTAAATATACAGGTTATAAATTCCAAGGAATGATGTCCAATTTATACATATTAATAGAAATGTAGGTACAAGGTGTAATTTTTACTATCAGGGCAACTATCCAGCAGTGAAATTGGGCCAGAGCCGTTTATGGCAGGATAGTAAAAAATGGCCAGATATTTGGTCAGAGCAGGAGCTACTATCCGGTGCACCCCTACTTTACATTAATATAAAAAAGCACATTTTACAGGCAGTGAGGTTCTAGGAATGCCAGGATCAATAAATGGTGATTTAAAGAGTCAGAATGATCAAGGAACTATTACTTACAATATTAAACATTGAATAGGGTCCATCCTGTGAGAAGGCATAAGGCAAGAGCTGGATGTTGGATGGTGACCAGGTGGCCTTCAGCCTCAGTGTCTCCTTCACCACCATCTTGATCCTCTGTGCTCTATGGTTGAAAGGTTCATTCAAGGTGAAATAAATGGATGGGTATAGGCCAGTGCTGATATTGTAAATCCAGTTCAACCTGTTGAAATTTATACAGGCAAGTTGCTTAAGACGAGTTTAAACCTTTTTCTGATTTTCTTTTTATCAATAATTACATATCATATTTCAAGAGAGAAAATAATACACATATCCGTGTGTTCATCTAGTCATGCATGTTTATTACAGACTTCAACTTAGCTAAATCATTGGTTTTCCTAGCTGATTTAGGCAACCCATTCCCTGCTCTAAAGCACAAGGAAAGAAATGTATGTAAACAATTCCAAGCATATGAAATTAGAAATGTGAGTTTATCCTTGTGTCTTTATCTTATCTTATAAAATCCAGATGTTACTTCAAAAAAGAAGATGAATATGTCCTACGTCTCATGCATCTAGTCATGCATGTTAACCAATGACTTTAATTCTGCCAAGTCATTGGTTTTCCTGGCTGGCTCAGGCAACCCATTTCATGCTCTAATGGCACTAGGGAAGAAGGAGCATTTGTACAAATTTGTCCTAGCATATGGAACGAGGAATGTGCCTTTATCTTTGTGTCTATCTGAGTATTTTATTAGGTTATAATTTTGTATTTGAAGATTCTGGTTCTGGGTATTTTATTAGGTTTTGTTTAGTATTCGTAAATTATGGTTCAGTGTTTCATGTAATAATGCTACTTAACTTTTCTGTCCTGAAGTGTCTCTAAATTAAGTGTTTTACTAACGATGTTACTCTAGTCGATGGGAATATTTGTTTGTTAAAAATCTCATGGTGTATGTAAACAATGAAATTTAAGATAGCCTCTTAGAGACTTAAGGATCTGTAAGTTATTTGAAGAAAG